CCACTACCTCTGACCCAAACCATCTGAACCTACACTTAGATACCTGATACACACACACACACACACACACACACACACACACACACACACACACACACACACACACACACACACACAGAGTTTTTGTTCATCCTAAATTCACCAATAAGCAGTCATTTGGAGGGTAGAGACTGTTATTCACCTCTACATCCCCAATGCCTTCCATATACCTAGATAATCTTCAATAAATTGTGTTGTGCATGGCGGCATGTACTTGTAATCCCAGCTCTTTGGGAGGTGAGACAGGAGGATCATGAGTTCCAGGACAGTATGTAAAACACAGTGTGACTCATGTCAAAAAAACTGTCATACTAACATAAATTTATTGTGTTAGGGAAAATAAGCTCTTATGGTTGAGGTAAGACTTTGCTTCATAATCTTGTGCCTTCATAATCTTCATGCATTAAAATGTAAACAGTGTAAAATTCCCCCCAAACAAATTAAAATCTAGAAAATAACAGTAACTACATTTCTGTATATTTTCAACTTGTCTGGAATGTTCCATTTAAATTCTGGTAATAACCCTACCCGGTAGGTGTTTGAATTCCCATTTTATTCAAGAGCATGCTTATTTTCAAAGTTTAAATAACACCAGGGTATTATGGCAAGTACATGGCAGCAAAATCCATCTTTTGCACTATACCTGAGTTAATGAGGCTGTTTTAAATATATTTTGGTAAGAGGAAACTACAGCTTATACTGTTGTTGAAAGCTGGAAATAAAAATGAAGTAACCTGGTTAAACCTGTTCAGCTATCCTTTGATCACTATTGAACAATTGATCTGAGCATTACTTAGTCAAATAGGTTTATTGCATCCAGCTTTCGAGTGTAAAGTAGGAATAGCAAGTTGTATTAGTCACACTCTGGTTTATTTCACATGGCACCAATTAATTTTTGGCCCTGGTTCCATGTGTAACAGAAAAAGAAAGCAGCGATTTTAACCATTCACTGAAATATCCAGTTTTACATTTAAATATTTCAATGAAAATACTTTGAAGGACTGGGTGCTTTTGTATATTTATCTCAACTTGAATTCTCTACTTTGCTTGTTGTTATTGTTGTTCTTTCCTGTGAATTATTTTTATTTAAAGGATGGGTAACTTTTTTTTGATTATTTCTTTTTTTCTGGTTTGAATCTGTAATTCTGCAGAAGGCCGTAGCACTAAAAGTTTGTTTTTGAGCTGACTGGCTTTTGGGAAGCTATTGGCTCCTAAGGGATCTAGGTTTGTGAATGGATTAATCCATTGATGAATTCTTAATTTGAGATTATTGGAAGCTGGTGCAAACAAAGAGGTGGGGCCTAATTGGAGGAAGTAAGTTACTGGGGGGTTGTCAGACCAGTATGCCTTGTCCTCATCCCTTTTTTTTGTTTCCTATCCATCATGGGTGAGCTCTCCTAGGCCATGCCTTTCAGCCATGATGTTTCTGCCCTGTCACCAGCATAAAGAATGAATGAAGTCAGCTGACTATGGACAGAAACCTATGCAACCATGTGTAAAGATAGATCTTTCTGCTAAGTGGTTTATCTCAAGTGCGATCACACAATGATGGAAAGTGTCTAACACAACCTTGATAAAGGTCTAAATGAGCCCCTCTTACACAGTAAGGATTAGAAATGAATTAAATGATTATAAAAAAAGTTTCAAATCCAAATTTCCCTTCATTTCCCTAAGAACTTAGTACTCGTTCTTCTCATTGGCTGGAGTATTCTTCTTTTTGATACCTCCAGTTATCTCTTTGGCCATCTTCAAGTCCTTAAACTGTTATTCTCAGTGAGTGGTAAATATTTGTTGCAATATAATGAACTGTTGTTTCTAGAACCAAGTGTCAGATATTGGAGTGCAAAGGGAAGGAAATAAGGGATAAAGTATTTTGAAGCCCTGATAAAGATGCCGAGAATGTTAAACTACAATGAGAATGACCTAGGAGAATGATCATAATTACAGTGAAATTATTCTTAACATTTTCTCATCATTAGCTTGCTTTTTCTGCTTTGAAATATACAAATGCAACAGAAAAGTAGAGAAAGCCACTTGGATCGCACATGAATAATTCTGTGGCCCCACCCCCTCTAGTGTATCAACAGATTTATTTTTTCTTTTAAAATGTGTAACATTAGGAGCTCCAGTTGTGCAATCGGTTAGCGTGCGGTACTTATAAAATGTGTAACATTAGTTGAATATGCAAGTAGGCCTAAATCAAGAGTTCTACATACTCATGTAACATTTTGTAGCCCCAAAGTTACCATAGTTGTGTATAACTTTAGGACCCATCTTTGACCATCCTTGTTTTAAAGGAGCCTAGAGCTTTAGGGCTGCAAGTTCTCAGTATATTTGACTAAAACATCTTATTCTAAAGATAGGAACACTGAAGGCTAGTGATGTTAAGTGGCCTTCCCTTGGTTCTCCACACATTGTTTAGTCAGGACAAATGGTTCCAAATAGGGGCACCTTTGAGATTGCAATTAAAAATGGTTCTTGTCAGAAAATTAGTTGAATATCACAATTATACATGTGAGTCTAAACAATGCACAATTCCACCCAGTTTACATCCTTGGTAGCAGTGCTATAAGCATTCCCACAGATAAATTATGGATCACAGAAGAGTAGACATTTTGCAATTCTCTTGAAGTGAACCACCCTCAAGGCAAACACATATGAAGAAGTCATTTTATGACTTTTATTAGTTATGGCTTTTGCTGCTCCTTATAGGAGTTTATTTTGTTATCTAACCCAATCATTTAAAAGATGCCAGTGGGGGTTTTATGTGCACTCTTTGCTCTCATGAGGCCAAGTCTACATGGCTATCATAATGCCAGAAGCATGTACAAATCTACACAACAATGCTTCATTTTCCTTTAGTGACTGTCTGAAAGATGGAGACATTTTTGTGGTAATAAATTTACTCGGTTTCCTGGTATATTTTCCCCACATACTTTTGGAATTATTTACTTTTTCCAAATGATGAGAGGTGGTAGTCATCAAAGCCTTAAATGGCAGTAACTTCATTGTTTTAGCTTTGTTAAAATTAAGATACCCTCATAACATTGGCAGTTCAGGATATTTGTATAAAATACTTTTGTAGTTTTATTGAGAACTCTGCTCTCAATCTGTAACAAAAATGAAAGCTAAGTAAAATTTTGAAAACTAGATTTTTTGGGGCAGATCACAGGGGCAGGGCACTAAGATCATCTGATTCTAACGTTAAGATCTCTGCCAACAATGTTATTGACAATTTTCTAATTGAGTATTTAAGCTCCTGTGCCAGTACCTTAACTTGCTTACCTTTCTCGGTATCCCATGTTTACAACATCTCATTAGCTTCCTTTTCGGTACTTAGGTTTGAATTCAGTCCAGGAAGCACTCACTACACTTTAGCCTTACAATCCCAACCCTTTTTGCATGGCTTACTTTTCAGACAGGGTCTTGTGATTTTGATCCAGCATTCCTGGATGTTGATCCCCTATTCACACCTTCTGTGAAACTGGCATGATAGGTGTGTGCTAACGCTTATTTATGGAGTTAGGAGTTACATCAACTTTTTGTCCATCATGGCCTTAAACTGTGATCCTTCTCAGTTCTGCTTCCCGAAAACTTGGGATTACAAGCATGAGCCACCATGTTTTCATTACTCATATTGTGTGTCATTAAATGGAGGTTAAACATCAGTAGCCTGAGAATAAGATGATGTGGGCTCCACTCTGATCATCTGGTGCCATTTATACAAGCATAATGTCCCCGCATGAACTGTTGTATATGGCAACACTAATTGAATACAATTTCAACTAAATTCATGTATCTAAATGTTAGAAATATCTACAGATAGTTCCTTGGATGTGATCATTTTTCTCTTTTCTTTGCAATATGCTAAAAAAAAAAAAAATCCCCAACTTTCCAACTATGCAAACCATTGAACCAGTCATCCCTTTTAAGTTAGGACAATTCACTCAGACATTCCTATATACTACACCTCTTACCTCGTATGAATTAAAATTGGATTCACATCCTACATAAGCTTGCTCCTTGGGAATTTTAAGTATTTGGTCAATACTGGGGTGATTGAAGAGAAACCGACACAGGCCTCAATTACACTCCACAGAAGACGTAGCCAAATAACCGGCTATTTAGAGCAACTTCTGGAAATAGGAAGAATAAATCTGGGCACTTGACACGTTCCTAGGCAAGAAAGCGAGTGAAGCAGTCATGCGTGGGAAGGAGACCCGGCAGAGCTAACCGCTGACCCCATCAGGTATCCTGTATTTGGGGTGAGAGCGGCTGTGGGCGCGGAACAGAATGCTGAGAAGGGTCTCAAGCCCTGGACCGGTCCGCGGGGCGCACGCATCCGAAGCCACCGTCGGAGCCCGCGCGGACCCGGCCGGGGACGGTCCCACGGCCCGGAAAACAATAGCAACGCCCGCCCGGCCTCCCAGCGGGGAGGACTGGCGAGTCCCGGTCCCCGGGAGCGTGCCCAGCCCACGCTCCACCTCAGGCTCGGCCACGCGTGGCACGAGCACAAGCCCGCGGAGAGCCCTGGCATTCACCCACAGCCCCTGCGCACCACGGACTCCTTCACACGCACCCCCGGCCGCCCCGAGCCCCGCGCGCCTGCCACCTGGCCGCGCGCGCACCCCGCCACGCCCCCGCCGGCACCCGCTTCGGCTCCCGGCAGGCCCCGCCCCCCGGCCCGCCGCGTGGCTTCGCGCGCACACCACGCCGGCTCGCGCACGGGGCCCCGCCCCCGGAGCGTGGCGGAAGTAGCTCGCTCTGGGCCGCGGTCGCGCGCCGCCTGGCGCACTGCGCATGCGCCCGCGCCGCCACGGGGTGGAGCTCCCGTGTGGCTATCTCCCCGGTCCGCTCTAACCCCCCCTCACCCCCCGCCCGCCCGGTAGAGGCGAGCTCACGCCATCTTGCGCCCCCCCCATCCTCCGCCACACCGCCTTGTCACCTTCCCCTTTCCATACTCTTCTGCGCCCCCCCGCCCCCTCCCCAGCGCGTGCTCCCGGGCCGCAGCAGCAGAAACCGCGCCATCTCTGCCCCACGCGGGACGCGCAGCCGGGCCTACAAGTGTTCTTAAGCAGAGGTTGTCGGGGGCGTGGGGTCGGTGGGGAGGGGGAGAGGCCCGGGGGGGCGGTCGGGGCGCCTCCGCCCCTCACACGCCCGGGCCCGGCGGCTCCCCGCGCGCCCGCGCCTCCGGAGGCGGCGGGGGCTCGCGGGCCGCGGCGGCGGCGGCGGCGGCGGTGGGCCGGCCCTGCGCGGCGCCCAGCTCTCCCGCGGGTCCGGGCGGGGGTGGGCGGTGACTCCTCCCCGCCGCCGCCGCCGCCGCCGCGCGGGGCCGGGCCGCGCGGGAGAAGCCGGGCCCGCCTCACCTGGGGAGGGCCGGCGCGGGGGCGCCGCGGGGACCCCTGACGGAGACGCCCACTGCCGGGGCCCTGGGAAGGCGCGGGGGGGGGGGGCATTGGGGGCGCCTTCGTGGCAGCGTGGCATCCCGAGGGGGGAAAGGTCAACCCCACGTCGTGAGCCCCGACCCCCAGACGCACACCGGGGGAAACTGCTGTGCTTGTCTCTACCTCGGTGCCCTGGATGTGGGGACCATAGTTGAAATGGTGGGGTGTATGGGAGAGCGAACCCTGGTGCTAGCACGCTTCGATCTGCCCCTGGCTGCTCTTACTCTGGAGGCCCCAGCTTTTGAGTTCTGGATGCCCACACGTAGTTCTTGCTTTCTTTAAAAAAAAGGAAAAGAAATCAAAATGAGCTCCCTTTGGATTGTCAAGTGAGAGAGGGAAAATGATAGTTGGCCTTCAGAGAGGACCCTGGCCACGTTCCTACTGCACGCGTGGATAAGTTAGCCTTAGGTCTCTGAGATTAGTGAAGACAGTCGAAATGGAACGACTGTGGACTAATTTGGGAGAAAACCTGGGGTCGCAGGATTTGTGTAAAGCCCACTTCTATAGAGATGTATTTTAAGAAAGAACTGGCGGAATTTCTGGTGTAGTATTCCAAAAGAGGCAGATTTTGAGGAACAAACGTTACTTTGCCAAAACAGAATGTGCTTTATTGTTATCCTAAGTTTTTATTTATTTTTGTGCTGTTAAAGGCTTTCTAGGCCTGGGGCTGCACTCTTCAGTGGAACTTTCTGCCAGGATGGATGTGGCCTATGATCTGTGCAGTCCCTCTGGTCACTACTAGGCACAAGTCACCCCGGGGTGCTTGGAATGTTTCATGTGCCACTGAGGAACATTAATTTCAATTCATTAATAAATGAATGACAATTTAAGTAGCTGTATATGGTTAGTGGCCATTGCATAGGATAGCAAGGGTTTAGATTGGGTGCTCTTCTAATTTTTTCTTTGAGTTTTAAATCAGGAAAGACAATTCTTGGAACGTTTGTTGCCTAAAGGAATCATAATCATATTCAAATCATGCCTTTCATTCAAATGCTATAGTTCAAAGACTGGGTTTGTTATTACTTACTTACAGCTTGACAAATTAAAGCAAATCATTCTTCTGACTCCTAGGTTGTACAGCACATGCCAGATTTGGTTGCAAAGCCATGAGAATGCTAACTAGAGTTTTCTTTAATCATTAGTCTTCTGTATTATGATCATGAGTTTCTCTTTGGTTCGTTTTTAGTAATAGATATTCAATTTTTTTTCCTGCAAGTTTTTTTTTTTTAAAATTTGAAAGTTGGTGCTTTCCTTTTTCCTCTTTTTAACCTTAATAAAGTAATTTGATAAATTACAGTAGTAGCCTTTGGGCTTTGGGATGTTTTAGAAGTAGTTTCCTTGTTATCCATGTTCAGAACTTGTGTAGACATAAGTGAAATTCAGTGATCTATGTTTCACAAGATTTCTTTTAAGTATGTGCATTTTTCTTTTTCTAGCAGGTGTTTATAAAGTCAAGCTTGAAAATTATGGTTTTTTTTTTTTTTTTGGTGTTGGGGATTGAATCCAGGGCTCCTCCTCTTAACATGGTAAGCAAGTGCTCTGCCACTTAAGTTACACACTGAGCTCCTGAGAATAAAGCTTAAAAACTGTATTTTTAGGTAGTACCCTTGACTGTGGCCTGATACCTATAAAGTGGTAACCTTGGTTACAAAACTGAAGGTAATTGTTAGATCTGGAGCAATAATGTGAAACTCATGGGCTAGGCCATAGGCAGAGAGTAGCCCCAAACGTAAATCAGAATGGGTTGATCTTGGCAGAGTGATTCTCTGTCTTAGTTATTCTGGCACAGTCATGGTTTAACGCCTAATTGTTCTAGCATAAATGTTACTGTTGCCCTTATCACTGTCTAAAATAGCCTAGTTGAGACCAAATAATCAAATGGCCACCATAGTTTTAGACTTGTTACAATGCATCAAATATATTTTTGCAGTGATTAACCATATTGCTATATTACTTACTCTCAAACAGTGACAGAGTTACTTGGTTTTGTGCTTAAATAATAGATGATATATCTGGAATAAGGCCAACAGGTAACTTAATTCATTTAAGCCACTGGTTAACTTAAAAAATAAGTGTTGGAAAGCAATCTTGGGTAGCTTGAACTTTGGTTCTCTTTTTTTGGTGGGAGGGATTGTATTTTTTCTGTAGTGGGCTAAAAAGAAAGTTAGGCCCTATCAGTTAAACCAGAATATTGGTATATATGTGTTCAAATACTACCTGGTGAAATTGAATAGTGAAATCACTGAAATCTTTTTATGTATTAAAATGATAACCATTTTGCATATAGTTTACTTAATGAGAACTCAGTCAAATGCATTGTTGCATTAATTGAAGTTATATTAATTGAATTTATATGTAATTGAATCAGGCACTCTTGGTTTAAAGCCTCTCTCTGATCCTTAGTAATAACACTCATGTCTTGGCTCAAAAGGGTAAAATGAGGTAACCCAAGTGACATATTTAATATAGCTTTGTAAATGTCAACCTTAAGTAGACTGGGCAGGTCTTGAAGAACTGTTAATGCTCTAAGATGCATGATGGGTTGGTGGAAAGAGCACCTGAAAACCAATTGCAACTAGCTTTTGCCCTTTTCTGTTCTGTAATTTCAGGGTTTTTTTTTTTTTTTGTTGTTGTTGTTTGTCTTTGTTTTTGTTTTTGTTGGTCATGGGGTTTGAACTCTGGGCCTGGGTGCTGTCCCTCAGCTCTTCAGCTCAAGGCTAGTGCTCTATCACTTGAGCCACCATGCCACTTCTGGTTTATTGGCGATTAGAGTCTCATGGACTTCTGCCTGGGTTGGCTTTGAACCGTGATCTTCAGATCTCAGTCTGCTGAGTAGCTAGGATTACAGGCGTGAGTTACCAGCACCTGGCTAAGTTAAGTTTTTTGAGACTTGGTTTCCTCATTGTAAAATGAAATCAGTGTCTCCATCCCAGCTTCTCACCAGATTGTCAGTGAATATCAGCTGAGAATAGAACTTGTGAATTGTCTTATTTTATAAACACTTTTTCATTTACTTGGTTTTATTTCATTTGGTCTACCTCCAGTAAGGAGTGACCTTAAATCGGAAAAAATTACATCTTTTGTATATTAAATTGTTTATACGAGAGCACTGTCATCAACAACTATTCTTTTTTCAAATAGTCCTCACAGTCCTAATAATGGTGCCTCACTGATCTGGAAACACTAAATCCTCTGCCCAAAGCAACTCATACTACTACTGCTCAGGGAGAACCAATGTTTTCTTAGATAAGAGCTCTGTTTTATCCACTGTGCTAAAACCTATAGCATCTCATTTATCCAAACATGTCATTCCTAACAAGCAGGTGATACCAGCTCTGTGAGATGTTTGCCCACATAAATTATACAAATATAAATTATTTAAAAAACCTTGACATTGTGCTTTTGTTACTTAAAATGCTGTAATGGTTTTATTACTGAATCCTGTACATTTTAATTCTTCATGTCGGCTCAGTCTAATCAGAACTTCCTTTCTTGAAAATGGACACCACACTTAATGAGAATCCTGAAATGAGCTTACTTCTTATTTTTCCCATGAAATGAGCATTTTGTGTGTGTGAGGCCCTGTTCTAAGTGCTTTATGCAATTATTCTATGTAAGGTAGAAAAGAAGAATTTTGAGTTGTCATTTTAGAGATGAGGGGTCTGAGGCAAAAGAGGTAACATGACTTGCCCAAGGTCACATGGTAAATGTTTGAGCCTCTATATGAAGTCCAGAACTGGACTTTTTACTGCTACACTGTTGGCTTGACATAGACAACAAAGTTCACCATGACAAACACATTGTGGAGGTCTTATACGTTAATTAAGATAAACTTTTATTTTTGTGTTCCTTGTTGTGTGGTAGAAAGAACTCGACCAGGAATCAGGGGGACCTCAGTTTTGGTTTCAGCTTGTATCACTAAATAGTGCTGTGTCCTTGGGCAGTTCAAGAAACCCCTCTGGACTGCAGTTTCCCCACCTGAAAAACGAGGGATTTGGATGGAATTAGTGATTTCAAACTCTGGTTCGAAGCCTGCTCATGTCTTTGGTCCCCCTCCCTCCAGTTTGCATAGTTCTCTTTTTGTTTGCCATACTCTTTTAAACGAAGAGTTTCTGAACATAACATTTAAAGTTACCAGTATCGAGAACTCAGTGACAATGTCAGCCCACTTACTGTTATGTGAATAACTCTCTAGACATTTTACATTATCGTAGTGTATTAGAAAAGAGGCCATCTTTTACAGACAAAAAACTAGACACTAAAATGGAAGAGGATTAGTGATTTTGGCTGAAATATATACTTATCTAAATGGACTGAGTATTTATCTCTATTTATATAAATGGACCAAAATATAGATTATCAGTTACCTGGGAGTGACGGTCTGTTTTATTTTTAAAATTAGATTTGTACCAGCAAGTATTTTTACTCTTGATATTCTTATAATTCGAGAGGAAAAAACTCACCTTATAGGGCGATTGTGAAAAAATGTGAGCTAATATTAGCGTTGAAAAAAATTACAAACTCCAAATCGATGTTTTTTTTTATGTCTACACTAAATCTCCTACTAGCTACATAAACTATGTTTTTAACTACATCAGATATTTTGTTGAATTGTTTATAGTTAATAATCTAATTC